ATGTAAGTTTGAGCAAATGCAGACCAGAATGTCCATTGATTTAAATACCACACTCTCTCTAAGCTATTTTATAGCCTTTACCCACATACATTGGAGCAAGAGAGGGAGGTTGTACAATGCTTATGCATTCAAGGGATATTCTGACATTCATGATCTCCACCTTTTCTGGATGCTTAATTCCTAGCATCATGAATGGCTAGCAATGTCCATTGATTTAAGTACCACACTCTCTCTAAGCTTACTTTACCTACATACTTTGGAGCAGTAGAAGGAGGTTGCGCAACGATTACTCGGAATATAACTGGATACTAACATTTATAGGTAAATTTGATCCAGGGAATATCTGATTGCCTCTCGGGGGATCAGGAAGGAATTGTTTTCCTTGCAGGAGCAAATTGGATCATGCTTTGCTGGGTTTTTTGCCTTCCTCTGGATCAACTGTGGGTATGGGATTATAATTTTTTTTTTAATGGTTGAACTGGATGGACTTTTTCTTTTTTCAGCCAGACTAACTATGTCACTATATGGAAATTTGGTAACTGAATGTGGTTCTGCCTGAAAGTACAGTGGAAAGCATAATAAAGCTCAGATAGTGCTAAAGTATGCTTCCTGACCGTATTACTGTTTCCTGGATTCTGATGCTCTTTAAAGTGGAACTTTAACACACACACTTGCAAAAAAAACAAAAACAAATTGGCAAACAGACAGGACTTTTAATTCAGAAGAGACAACATACTATAGGGGGGATTTACTAAAACTGGAGAGTGCAAAATCTGGTGCAGCATAGAAACCAATCAGCATCCATGTTTCTGTGTCAAAGCTTAATTAAACAAGATGAAGTTATAAGCTGATTGGCTACCATGCACAGCTGCAACGGATTTTGAACTCTCTGGTTTTAGTAAATCCACCCCTATGTGTCTTCTGCATTAAAACTTGCTTACCTGCCAGTGCACAGTTTCGGCATTGCTGAGATGACAGGACTCTTGCGTGCGTGGCAGTGACGGCATCTCAGTCTGCCCAATAAATGAAGCCAGGGATTGATACCTGGAAACCGCCGGGCTGATGTCAGCGGCTGGTGGGGAGCTACAGGGCATCGCAACACTGGAGAGAAGATGAGTGTAGTTCTGCTTTAAAATGGAACTCCCCTAAAACCTTTTTTTTCTAGTTTGCACATAGCTGGTAAAGCGTAATAGCACTTGTCAGTTTTTGTCTTGCTATCTATAACCCCATTAGTAGGATTCAAAAGCATTTATTGTCCTGGTGACTGTTTTCACTGTAAGCGAGGGGCAGTCTCATATTTTAGAGTTATCATTAAAACATGAAAATCCACCACCATGGATATCCTTTCCAGTGAAAGCTTATAAAGGTGGGGTTTCTCCATATTTGGGGAGATTGCCTCTCATTTCCTGTTGTATCTTTGGGACAAGAAAACCTACCCAAAGGGGATATAGAAAGTTCTAAAAACTAACAGAGGTTCCAACACTTTCTCATTCTATCCCATGCTAGAAAATTTGGATGGTGACGGTAAGACAAGAACATACAGAGTCTCTTTCAATTAAAAAACAATATGCATAAAGTGTATCAAATGAATAGACTAGAGCAGCCTTGCTCATCCTTTTACCCTAGAGGAACCATTTAAATAATTTTAAGGTTACCAGGAACCTCTGCTAAAACATATTCCTTTGTGGGTCACTGGGAAAAATACCCCTTACATTGGTGGCCATTGGGAATAATGCCCCTCTTATAGTGGGGTCAGAATTCCACCCATGCAGACAGCTAAAAAGATCACTGGTGTCTTGAAACTGGCTTGGCCATGTGGCATTGTCCCAAGAACTATGCAGGCACTATCAAATGGGAGGTCAATAAGCCAAAGCTCAAGGAACCCCTAGACACCTTTTGAGGTACCCCAGAGTTCCATGGAACCCTGATTGAGAATGGCTGCCACATCGAGTGCGACGGAACTTGCATAGGCTTTACATGTAAGATTACAGCAACAGATTCATTAAAGTAGGACTTTAAGCAGATATATAATATCTCCTTTCAATCCAGTTATGATCATTAAAAATCCTTTAAATGTATTTTACAATATTTTCTCATTCCGTCTATATATTAGCCTTCTGTTACTGCCTGCTCAACTGGACTCTGGCTGATAGAAGAAGAGCAACACTTGATGTCAGTCAGACTCTAGGTCAATGTACAGTACTGTTCATTAAGAGAGAGCACAGGAATGACCTGATAAGTCAGCTGCTGCTCTTTCTTTGTCCATTCACAAGCTCGGGTGGTCCTTGACCAAGTTATACAGTTTATGCAGTGGAAGAAAAATGAACCATGCTGTCTCATGGGAATGTCTGGAACACAAGAATAGTTGAACAAAAGGACACATATTTTGACATAAAATAAAGTTCATATGTATAATCTATGAATTGTTGTGTTTGCCTTCAGTTCCATGGCCCTTCAGACTTTCGGCTCCATAATAAAATAATATCAGTGCAGAAATTCCTCATGCAGGATAAAGTAAGTATACAGCAGAATAGGAATTAATTTGGATACCGGGTTTAGTTTAGGGGGTAGATTCAGTTTTAGGCTCAAGGCTTAGGGACTTAACTGTTAGTAGGAGGTTAAGTGTTTAAGCATCACTTCACGGGTTAAGTGTTAAGGGAGAGATTAGGTTTTATGGGTTCAAGTGTTAGGATTTTGGGGGGAGGTAAGTGTTTTACAGATAGGCTGAGGATTAAGTGTTTAAAGCTAGGTTTAAGTGTTATGGGGTTGTTTTAGAGACAGGTTAGGTGTCAAGTGTTCAGACTGAGGAGGATCGGGTGATAGTAGGGTGTGCAGGGGATAGTTCCTTCCTTACTAAAACATTGAGTGGTTACTGTGCACACTACCTCTTGATGTCAGGAGTCTTATGCAAAAAACTATTGGCACTAGCCTTCTGATAGCGAGAACAAATATATTGTATATATATCCAACATACGGTACCCAAGCACATGATACCGCTTGCTACAACATCAAGCAGTGACAAAGTGCTGAACTCAGTTTGTCACATAGTCAATAGACAGGAATGCCATCTAGGACAACAAACCTTTAACAGGACAGTCACTACTACAGCTTATGCAGGCACCAAAATAGTTATATACAGAATCCCTGCAAGTAAATTAATTCTGCAAACCAACAGAAAAAACAACAAGCTACAGGAAAAGCGTCGCTCAGGAATTAAACATTTACCACCCATGTCCCTCTTGTGCAGTTCTACTGATGGATTACATTCCCAAACCCCTTCTTATTGTACAAATACTATTACTGCCATTAAGAATTTTCCAACATGTTAACATGACTATTTGGAAAGAAGGAGAGAACGATGTCATTATATTGATCAGTGTTCATTAATAATGAACATCAAAGACAGTAATTATTGAGGGGATGCTGAAACAAAACAGGCGCTAGCAAACTGGGAGCTGTTTAAAACATCAAAACAGTAAGTTTTACACTAAGCTGAGAACTATAAAAAGATAAGTCAAATGATCCACACTGCATATATTGTCACTTCGGTTGGATTGTCGCTTAATTCAAACATCGTGCAGCTATATGATATTAAACTGAGTTGTAGAGATAGAAAAAAAATAACGTATACAGCCTTATTTTGTAAATTTTCTTTAAAGAACCCATAGGTATAAATAAAATAACTTCTTAAAAACATCTGCAAATAAATATGTGTGCAAAGTTTTCTAAATTTGGAGGTAAAATTAGGTATCTGACATTACTAGTGGCAATGAGAGTATTAGATTAGCTGCCATTTTAAGCTAATTGAGGACCCATGTGGGATCACTAGAGAGCAAGACAACTTTGTGCTGCCCCCTAGTTCTTCTTAGCTTTAAAATGTATGCAAGAATACAGTCATAAAGATTACATATTTATCTGTTATGCTATTCTGATTTTTTATTTTTACATATACAAACATTCAGTTTAGATTTTTCTTGAATAGACTTCCAGCAGAGGTAGTGAGTCAGTCAGCAGTAAGTGGTTTCAAACATGCTTGGAACAAAAGCAGATCTATACTTACAAAAAAAGTTAATGTAAAAAAAACAAAATAAAAAACAGAAAAAAAAACAAACAAAAGAAAAAAAAATACAAAACGTATTAAAAAAAATGGGCAAACTCGATGGACCACTTGTTCTTTTTTCTGTCGTGACTTTTCTATGTTTCTAGATTTAATGGTCCATCTATGATTATTTTATAAACAAGTAAGGGCCGGTTTTAACTGATACTTAACCACAAAACATACGTTTTAAATTCAAGCAAACATAAACCATAAGTTGCCTTATCTGAAAAAAGTAAGTTATGTAGTTTCATAGCTACAGTTAAAAAAAAAGACACGTCTGCCGTCTTCAACTTTAAATAAAAGAAGTTCCTATACTATGTCCATGAACTTTTAAAATTGACATAATTTAACATTAATGCAAATCTGAAACTGGTTAAACTTGATGATATATAGCTGGCACCTCTAGTTGCCTCCAGCATTCCTCAAATCCCCCTCCCATTGTCACAAGCCTGCTTCCATCCCTTTCCACCTTTTGCACCTCATTATTGGAAAGTTAGATTGCTCATATCAACGATGGGTCAATGGTACAGTGAAGAAGGTGGGAGTGGGTGAAGCTTGGTTATTGACCACAGGAGCAGGTCAGAATTTGCATATCAGAATTCCTGTTTCATGGCTCCCAGATTGTTCATTTGGAACAATGACTGAGCGAGCCAGCACCTGAAGGTGATTGCTTTGTCTCATTAGTTACAATTTAAGAAATGTGATGTTCTTTAAGAACATGGTAAACTTTGCTTATGGGAAAAGATAATTCCTTGTGCAGAACTGAGTTCCTGTCCACTAATATCATTTAATGACACCCCACTTATTCTTGCCTAACCTATAACTGGCCATTAACATGATTCAATTCACAAACAAAAAATATTAATACAAAAGAACATTTTCCAACTTCTAATTCAGTAACGTTCCAAAGACATATGAAAACGACAGACTCTGACTTTGTGAGAATGAATTTAGGTCTTCTCTTTCAGAATAGTGTTCTTTTGGTAAAAGAGTATTTTCAGATTTCCATAGGAAGAAATTGAATTGGATGATCTGGACTCAACACTGAGCTTTTTTAAATCACATGACACTAATAGAGAGGTGCTGCTTTTCTCAGCTCATGGATAATAATAGGAAGAGATGGTTGGTCAGACAGCACTAGATCTATATTCATCTCAGATTATCCCAACATGCACAGTTGCTGTTTGATGGTGGAGATCCTTTCTGAGCCCTCTAAGAGCTTGTAATGCCAGAGGACATTGTATGCATGTGTTGTATGTACTGGAGGTGTGTAACTTTAAGTCATTTATCATCTTCTCTTTTTGTATCATATAAAAGAGGCTAAATTTATTTACCAACAATATATTCACTGAGAGTTGTTGTAGTAAGCAACAGAAGCGCAGCACAATCCAGAACTAAATTAAATTCTTACTGTTAAGAGGTGATGTTCAACAATCCAAGCACAGAGCGGTCGGAAGACAGTTCCTTTGAATCTTTGCATAATTATCACATCCCTATTTCTGATGGAGCAGGTGGCAAGCTGTTAGATGTGACATTTTCAGAAGAAAAGCAAACAGGAGCACGGAGCTGTACCTGCGTTATGTTTCACAAATTAAAAGCACAATTAAAGAGGGGAGTCTACCTGCTGTGTTCAACTCCAATCCTACAAGCAGTGGAGATTACCTGGGATGTCACCGCTGCCCAAATATCAGCAAATTGCTCAAATTACCCAGGACAATGGAGACATAACTCGACTAATTAGAGAATTCAAACTAACAACACAATGGATGGGAGATAGCAAGGACAAGTGCTCAATAGAGAATAGGTTATTAATCTTTGGCCACATGTTCAATTCCCTCCTGTAGAGTCAACATAATCATATGTTGTGTTCCCCCCCGCTCCCCTTACATTAACCTGCCCTCCATGTTGCAATGGGTTGTGGCTGCCCAGGGCATGTGGGATATTATTCTCGCTTCATTAAAATGCAATCAAGATGCTTTGGCAACTGAATTTGCCGCTAAACAATGGTCTTTCTGATTGGCAAGCTATTTTGTTCCCGTGCCTATCATTAATTTTCTTACTCAAATGGAAACTACAGCAGCATCTGTCATTCTAATTGTGGCTGCAATGCATCAAGTGGATGCTACAGAAATTTCCTTTGCAACCTAAACCGCAAATAAGTAAATGAAACACACAAAAAAATTGCATACCAGACATCGCAGATGTCTATGCGCATCTTCGCTGCATATCTGGGATACTCCTCCGTTGTGAAATTAATCCTTGCAATCGACACATTGGCAAGCAAATCATTTTATGTGCTTATACTGCGTGGTAATGGCAAGGCGATTAAAAAATGACTGAATGGAATTTTAAGAGAATGAGGATTTTAATTAATACCAATGCTTAATAAGAGTTATAATCGAAAAAGAAATTAAGGCTTATTGCTAAAATTAGCTTGCCATAGTAAAACTGAATGGCTTACATCAGACAGAAATATCCAAAAACTGTGAATGGTTTTAAAGACTCCTCAAAGTGGATACTACCAGTATGTTTGGATCTGTCAAGGAATTGGAATTAATCGGTGCTTGGGTATTCAGGGGAAACCCCATTGCCTGGAGGGGAATTCCATAATGACCTCACATGTGACATCACCATCAGTTCTCTATCATCGACCTAGACCACATTTAATCACTAGGTGATCAAAGTAACCCCTGTTGACTCATGACCTTATTTTGGATGGCAGCAAATAATTGGAGAATTTGAAAAGCCACTGTCACTGAAGATATATCATCATACAGATTGTGTATATGGGATTTATTAACTGAAAGTTGGTGCATCAGACTGTTAAGGCTGTGACTCTACACTGACCCCACAACGCATCTAACCATTACTAAGAATATACAACACACCTTGCCCATAAACTCAGTTAAAGTGATATTGCATTCAATTTGCCACAGTGCAGTCCGTGTTGATATGCTTCATTGGACATATTTGTTAAAGCAACAATACCACGCTCCATTTAATTTATTAAATTGACATCCTAGGTTCCACAGGGTATACTTATTAAAGTGACAGAACAGTCTGCAGTGTTCAAGCTTCCACTGACTGTGTCAAAACATGACATGCATGTTGGGTATGTCCAAACCTCATATGAGCTATGGGTTAAATATGTCAAGTAGACAGCGTTTAAAAGGAAAATATGATGCATAGACAGGCAAATTACATGCAAAGTCCAAATAGCTTTTACCAAAGTATACTAAGGCCAACAGGCGTACCATATCATAATACATTCTTGGCCATGGCATCAATTCTATAGTATGGGTGCCCTCTATACATGAATAAAATATAAATCATAGCAACTAGATAAAATCTAAAAAATAATCTTTTAGCATATACTGATATTTTTAAATCAATACTATATAATGCATTGCAGTAAACTTGTTCTGAAAGGTCCAGTGCACCAAGAACTTCTATTTTAGATACAGATGAGTTTTGATGGCTTGGATCATTCCCTAGCTTCCTATACCTCTCAGGAACCTCAGTAAGCAGCGCTCCATCCTAGAATTCTGAGCTTTTTATGGCAGGATGAAGTCTCACTCTTCCTGCTGTAGATGGGGGAGTCTTTCTACTCCTATTTGCTTCCTCTATAGCGCAGAGTATGTGAAAAGCAAGTGGATAGAGTGAGGGTGGGCAGCCGTAGAAACTCATGTGCAGAGATCTTAATACTGGAGTCCCAGGAGGTATAGGATATTGGTGCATGATTCAGTTTGCCAGCATCTCCCCAAACCCTTGAAGGCTCCAATATATTGAAGGACTACATTACTAAGAAACTGCACAATTCACTTTTTCAACTGTGCTTTACTTTTCAGAAAACTTTAACAGTACAAAGTACCACCTTATCATCTACCGTACTGAGCATTGCATTCCTCTTACTCTAAGTCATCCACAGCGGACAGTACTTTATGTCCCCTTCATGGGATATAACCAGACAAATCTGACAGTGGAAATTAACAGAGCAAATTAAACCAAGCCGAATCTCTTTATTTCCAATAAAGGGTGAATAAAAAGAGGCGAAGCTTAGTATTCAGGATCAGCAGGCAGCGGATTCCATTCTCTAGAGGACCGCATGCAATCAAGGCCATTACTCATTTTCGACAAGTTCTAAACTGATCAGCAAACAGCTTAATCTGTATTAAAAAAAAAACAACTAAAGACTGGCTAGACTGGCACAGTATAGACAGCCTCTCTCATTGCTTTGAAGAAGAAGAAAAAAAAAAAAGCATATAAAGATGAGCTTCAGCCTACAGGCATCTCAGATCTCTCTATCTCACAGCTTTGGATCAGACAATGAAAATGCGTAGATTCTAAATTGCAACAGTTGTATTAACCCTCCTAGTGGCTAGATATCACAGAGCTGGTTTTAAGGCAAGAGCTATATATAGAACCATTGCTGCTAGAAAAAAAAATACAATTTGTAAAATGGACTAGAAGCATGAGAAATGAAGCCTTGAAAGTCACTGCATGCTGCTTGGGCTAATATTATAGACATAACATGATATTAGAACTGTAGGCATGTGCTGTAGGGTATAGCTATGTAGAGAGATATATAGATTCCATACCTGATTAAAGTCCAGCTGAGGATAGGCGAGGGGAAAGCTCCTTGCAGTGCATTGCATGGGGAGAGACGTTGCTGGACAGCTCCAGGTCTGGGATTCAGGACTCCGGGCGATCCCTAGAGGAGCCGGGAGCTGTCCGCCATCCGCTGGTGCTGAAACCTCCTCTGCCACCTTCAGGACATCGCCAGCTCAACCAATTCACCCGGGACAACCGGAATCACACAACAGTCAAAGGATCCCTCTTGAGGAGGAAGAGAAAAAAGACACAAGGGTACACACTATGCATTCAACTACTACCCCCACCTCTTCCCCTTCCCTTTCCAACACATATCCAGGCAAAAGTCCACTGGCTTGCTGCTTGTCAGTCCAATGACGGATTGGATTTAGTAAATGATGGCTACGTGTTAAAGTTTTACGAGGCTGCCCATCAATCTGTTTTACAGACTAGACCCCGGCCATTTATTAATAGAGGAGAAGAAGGCAAGTCAAAGGGAAGGAGCCTCTGCGCAGGAATAGTCTTAGTTCTTAGCCATAGCACAGCCAGATTAACCCTATAGGCAACTAACCCTACTACTAGTCTTCTCCTAGTGATCAGGCACATTAACCCCCTGAGCATCCCACTCTACTTCTAGTCTTTTCCTACTGATCAGACAGATTAACCCTCTGGACAGCCAACCTCACTATTAGACTTTTAGTGATCCTACTACTAGTCTTCTCCTAGGGATCAGTCAGAATAACCCTCTGGACATCAAATCCTACTACTAGTCCTCTCCTAGTGATCAGCAAGATTAACCCTCTGGACATCCAACCATACAACTAGTCTAATCCTAGTGATCAGTCATGTCAACCCTCTGGACTGCCAACTCTACTACTAGTCTTGTCCTAGTGATCAGCCAGATTAAACCTCCGGGCTGCCAACCCTACTACTAGTCTTGTCCTAGTGATCAGCCAGATTAACCCCCTGGAAAGCCAACCCCACTACTAGCCATCTAGGGATCAGCCAGACAACCCTACTACAAGTATTTTAGAGATCAGCTAGATTAACCCTCTAGACAGCCAACCCTACTGCTAGTCTTATAGTGATCAGCCAGAGAACCTTACTACTAGTCTTCTAGTGACTAGCCAGAATAACCCTCCAGACAGCCAACCCTACTGCTAGTCTTCTAGTGGTCAGCCAGCTTAACCTTCTAGATAGCCAAGCTTACTGCTAGTCTTCTAGTAACCAGTCAGATTAACCCTCCAGACAGCCAACCCTACTGCTAGTCTTCTAGTGACCAGTCAGATTAACCCTCTAGACAGCCAACCCTACAGCTAGTCTTCTAGTGGTCAGCCAGCTTAACCCTCTAGACAGCCAAGCCTACTGCTAGTCTTC